CTCTCTGGGGCTGCGTGAGACTCTCTCCAGCCGCGTCGTCCCTCGATGGAGCGCGATCCGTCGATGTCGCCCCGCTGCAACTAGGTGGAGGGCCCATCGACAAATCCAAGTCCAGGTGGCTCCCCATTTGCGATACCGACATCCCCAACCCCCTCGCCACACCCGGGGTCATACCCGCCATGACCAGATCGTACTGCTCCGTGAGGAACTGCTGCATGAGGCGCTCGTCGCTGCCCCCACGCGACACGTCCGCCTGTGCCCCTATCTCCTCCTCCATTGCTCCTGGCATTCCCCCCTCCACTGCATCTGCTCCTCCAGCTGCTCCTGCTGCTGCAGCCCCAAGCCCATCCAGTGCAGCTGCTCCTCCAGCTGCTCCTCCCGCTGCTCCTCCAGCTGCTCCCGCCTGCCCTTCCACTTCATCTGCTCCCCCTGGCGCTGGTGCCTCCTCCGCCAACACTGAAGCTGCCATCTCCTCTAGCAATGAAGTGGCTGCTGCTACAGCTATCTGGTCCACCACGCCTGCAATCGTCGTGTCCGCCAATCCCCCTTCCACTGCCATCTCCCCCTCCACTGCTGCTGCCGACGGTCCCCCCTCCTCCTGCAAGACCCCCGAAGAAGGTGATCGTAACCTCAGCTGTCGGACTACCCCGCCTATGTGGAGTAGTCCGCGCTGAGGCAAAGAGGACGTCAACTCCTCCGTGTCCTTTGCTGCTGTGGTCGGCTCATATGGCGCGACGGGCGATGGCGGTGCAAGACTCGGAGCAGAAGGTGGCGGCACGGACGACTCCCGCCTCGTCGGAGCGGGGCTCATCGCCCGCGCTCCTGTGCCGCCCGTGGAAGTGACCTCCCCAAACGGTCCCCACAACTCCTCCTCTCCCCCCATCATCTCCCTCTCCGCCCTGTCCGCCGCCCGTCGTGCAGTAGCAGCCCTGGTCTCCCCCTCGGGATCCTCGTGAGTCTCGTCGATCTCACGGGGATGCGGAGCGCGGGGTGGTCCGCTGCCTCGGGTACCGGCTCCTCATCGGAATCATCCTCCCTGGGGTAAGGACGGAAAATGGAAGCACGTCTACGGAATATGGCCTCAGTGGCGGGTGGTGCGGAGACCCCGATGGGATCCCGGGTGATAAGCGCAACCTGACGGGCAATCTCCTCCGACGTCATCCCCCTGCGCGTGCCCGTGCGCACTGGCTCCAACTCCAGTCCGGCCTGGCAGTCTAGCATGCCCTCGTCCCGCTGCCATGGCACCACATAACCGCACCCAGCCCGCCGATACTCCGACAACCGCACATTCGCGGTGATCTCAACGAGATGAACGACCTTCTCAAAGGCCACATGGTTGCGCTTCTTCGTGTGAATGCCCTCGTGGACTGCCCAGTTCCTCTCCGCTGGAGAGGCACAGGACCACATGTGCATCACACGAAGAGTGCAACGCTACAACTCAGGTGCGCCAAACCCGTACTGAGACCACCAGGACGCGCACTCAATCGTCTCCCTGTCGCCGCTGCAAGCACGCCCGCGAGCATTCCCCTCCCCCCCTCCCCAATCCCCAAATGTGCCCTGCTGCATGTGGAAGTCCTCAAACTGCCGACATGCAATGATGTACTCCGTACCATCCTCCTCGTAACCCGTCTGCGTCAAAATGTACCTCTTGGCTTACGTCACAAGCCAACGAGGGTAATCCCTCACCTCGTCCGAAAAATACTCAACATGTCGCCTGCGGGGGTTCGTTAAGAACCCCACGCAGTGAGCAGGCTCCAACATGTGCCGTGTGCGAGCCTGCACACTCCTGATGATGCGGTAAGCGAAAACCCTCCCCAAAGGAGCGCATGCATCAGTGACACGGCGGACAAGATCCTGTGTCCACTCGATCATGAGGGACATGTACTGCCCCCCACGATCCATCCGCCTAAGCAGCTCCATGACGGGCTGCATGATACGGAGTATGGTGGCCATCGTGTGCCACCAAGGCTCCCATCTGATCTGCCGGCGCACCCAACGCGCCATGTCGCACACATCGGCAGACCACGGTATAGAAGCAAACTCCCGCCCGTTATCCCCTCGCATCATCGCCTGCAGAGCGTCCTGCAGGGCCAACAGTCTCTCCAACATAGAATAAACAAACGCGAACCGCGTCTCGCAAGAAAGCACAAGCCCCTTGTTGGGGCTGCGCTTCCTAAAGAAATGAAGGGCGGCCTGGTGGGTTTTGGAAAACACCACCAGAACACAAGCGCGTGTAATCGCGTCCACAAACTCGTCGCAACTCGTCCCCATGTCTGACAACAATTTGTTGCAGACATGGACGGAACACGGAAGCCAAGTGATCCTCCTGAGTGCAGGAGGGATGCCCGACGAGGCCAATGCCCTCGCAGCACCCACGTACGCCGATGCGGAGTCTGTGCATATCGCATTGACCCGATGCAGGCCGCCGAAACTAAACTCGTGGAAGATGGTCACCCATCTCCGAAGGATGTGCACTGCATCGTCCGGCTCGCCCTCGTGATTGATCACCGTGTACACGACGACCCCTCGCGAGCCGGCGGCAAGGAAATTCACGATCGGTCTCCCGTCTCGTGATTTCCTCCCGTCGGAGAGGAGAGTGGCACCAGTGATCCAGAATGGCTGCCTCACCTCCTCCAACTCCTCCGCCAGCTCCTCACGGTGGGTCTCCACCGCCTGCATACTCACAATCTCGTTGTGGCTGGGGAGCACAGCGCGCGGGGAACTGCCAGGCTGCTCAAGAAGGACCTGGTGGTATGCCTTCCAAGCCTGGTTGCGGAAGGCATTGAAGGGGACCCCGCTGGAATAGAGCCAGCGAAGGAATGTCTTCTTGTCGCGAGCAACCCACTCGCCACCGTAGACGTCAGTGACCTTCTGCTGGCGAAGCCTCTTCCCAGCTGGGACGGCGGCCGGATCTGTTCCACCTTCCTTTTTCTTGGAAGAACCCTCCCCTACAGGTGCCTTGGCTGCTCACCTCAAAAAGTCCTCCATCCTCTCCCCAATGCCAGGATAAACCTCAGGCACGTCCTCGTGTCCCAGGACTCCGTGCTCGCCCGGGACACTGGCCTCGCGATCGACGTCGATCGCGCCCTCTTCCGTGTCCTCCACCATCTCCCCCGACCCCTCCTGACGCCCCCTCCACGGGCTGCCGCCCCGCCTCTCCTCCCCTCACACCACCCGTGCCAGGCACATCGACTCCGCGCTCCGCCGGGTACCTGGCAACCCTCTCCATTTGATCGCTCTCGAACTTCTGTTGACTCCGTCGCGCGATCTCGTACAAAGCCTCATCGCTGACGTCATTGTAGTAGTTCGTCTGCGTGAAATGCCTCGTCGCCTGGAATTGGCTCCCCTGAAATACTTTATTGCAAAAAGTGCAACGCAGCATCATGACCCTCTTGTTGTCGACCTTCTGGCCAACAACCAGGTAACGGTACATAGGGGAGCGGCCCCTGAATGTATCCTGCACATGGTCAGGGGCAGGCTCATGCTGACGCCGCTGTGACCTCCCCATGACGGCCGCCCTCGCCGCCTCGCAAGTCAACAATCGCAACCACCTCCTCCCCCCCAAACGTGTGGCCTCAGCCCCCCCCCCCCCCATCG